TGGCACCGAAAGCAGGGTCAGTACAGCTGGGCACCCAGCTCTGTAGCGAGGGTAAGGGCCACTCACGCCTGCATCCCAAGCCCTGTTATGGCCTGGAGGAGGGGCCGTGCCCTGCTTCCTGTCACCAGCCATGGATCTTGAGACTTTGCTTGCTGGCCTGTGTGTCCACAGTCCTATGTTTCATGTGTGTCTCTCAAACTGCTCACCTCTCACCTGCCAGGCTGGGCTGGGGATCAGGAGACCTGAGGCCACTTGGCATTGGTGGTTGGAGTTCATTGTAAGATGCTCCCATGTTCCTGGGAATTTTAAAGTTTGTTAACCTGAATAATATAGAACATTCCCTCTGCTCGTCCTCTTGCTGGCAGCAGGCGGTCTGAGGCTTCGCAGACCCTGGGTGCGCGAGGTCTCAGCTGGCTCCATCCTGGGCTCTGGCTTCCTGGCTGGTGGGACGAAGGCAGCCTTGAGGAGACTCTGAGAGGGAGGCGGCAGGCCCATGGGGAAGCTGCACTGAAGCCAGGCCTTGTGACCCAGGCCACCTCTGCCTCTGGGCCACCTCCTCTTGGGTAGGCCTCAGGCCTCACAGCCTTATTTCTTGGTGACACGCAGGCACACTTCAGACCCCAAGGTCATAGCCACAGGCCCCTTCCTAAGTTTATGGCTGGATATTTACACCCCTTATTCAGGGGCCCAAAGGGAGGCTGCCTTCCACTGTGTCCTGAGGGCAGTGATGTCACTGTGAAGGGACTGGGACAGGGCCAACCCTCCAACCCAGCATGGGAGCTCAGTTCCCCAAGTTCATAGTCACAAGGTGTCCAGGGCCAGCCCATGCTGCACCTGCCCGGCAGCTCCTGTCTCCCACACGGGAGTGAGTGCTGGGGGGACAGTAGTGGCACCGAGTGTTTACAGCTGCTGAAGAGAGCACCCCTACAGTACCCACAAATAGACGTGTGTGTGTGTGTGTGTATATATAGATATATATATATTTGTATTTATATTTATACATATGTATATAGCACTTCATCAGCCGTTCTAGCAGGGCTGGCGAAGACCTCCACTCATCCCTCAGCAGCTCTCTTCCATCTGTCACAGAGTCCTTAGAGCCCAGTGACATGGCACCATGTCCTGCGATCCTGGCTGGAGGAGTTGGCAGTGTAGTAGCCCTACAAGTGCTAACACAGGCTTGTCACCTCAGAGATGGTGCCTCCACATGTCCTTCCTTCTCTGCTGGCTTCCTGTGGGTGACAGGGGCCAAGCTCACAGAGCCTCCGGGAGGGTGCCACACTCCTCTCTCCCACAGCGTCAGGCAGAAGCGCATGCTCTCTGGTGCCCTCGGCGTGTCCTGGCCAGGCAGCGTGCACCAGAGCCGGCTCAGGGGAAGCACTACTGGTGTCTGGGGATGAGAGGCGAAGGGCAAAAGGCTTTAGAAGCAGTGTCCCATGGGGGCCCAGCTCAGCCTTGGCCCTCCAGGGGCTGGTGGCCTTCCTGAAGTGCACGCATCATGGGCTTCCCCAGGCAACGAGGTGGCCCACAGAGCTGCCTTTCAGCCCCACGACAGAGGGAAGGAGCTCTTCTTCCTTGGCTCCCTGGCCATCCCCGAGCAGGACAGCTCTGAGTGTTATTTGTAGGGCCGCAGGAATCGGGACACTTTGGAACGTAGCAGTTTGATGAAGGACCGGGGGAACATCTCCTTGGACTCCTGGGCTGTGTACTTGAAGTAGTTCTGCGGGTGTGCCAGCACGTCGAAGAGCGCCTTGATCAGCTTCTTGTCCTGCAAGACATGGCGAGATGAGGTGGGTGAGGTGGGGCCAGGGCATTCCACTGGGGGCCTGGAAGGGATGGGGAGCAGGGTTTCAGGATCCCCCAAATCTCTTTACTACAGATAGTCCTTTGGGTTTAACAGTGTAATTGTATTTTTTTCCTTTCCTTTTAACATTTGTTTTTATATTTATTTAGTTACAGTTGGACACAATAACCTTGTTTTATTTACTTATATATGGTGCTGAGAATAGAACCCAGGGCCTTGCACGTGCTAAGCAAGTGCTGTACCGCTGAGCCACAACCTCAGCCCATCCTTTTTACATTTTTTTTAAAAGAGAGAGTGAGAGAGGAGAGAGAGAGAGATAGAGAGAGAGAATTTTTAATATTTATTTTTTAGTTCTGGGCGGACACAACATCTTTGTTGGTATGTGGTGCTGAGGATCGAACCCGGGCCGCACGCATGCCAGGTGAGCACGCTACCGCTTGAGCCACATCCCCAGCCCCCTTTTTTACATTTTTTAATAGTTTTTTTGTGGTGCTGGAGAGGGAATCTGGGCCCTAGTGCACACTGGGCAAGTGCTCTGTCATTGAGCCACATCCCCAGCCCCATGTAGCTGTTTTTTTTTTTTTTTTAATATTTGCTTTAAAAAAATAAAATATTTGCTTTTTAGTTATAGGTGGACACAATATCTTTATTTATTTATTTATTTTTATGTGATGCTGAGGATCAAACCCAGTGCCTAATGCATGCTAGACGAGTGCTCTACCTCTGAGCCACATCCCCAGCCCCATGTGGCTGGTTTTTTTGGTAGCCTACCGGCGTGAATGCTTTTATTAAGAGCATCTGTTGGTAATATAACACTCTGAAAACCAGAGCGTGCTGAGGACCAAGCAAGGCTTCGCAGCCACAGCCGCACCTTGAGCTTGCAGCTCCCTGGTCACTAGCTCCTCGACCCTGGAAAGCCCTCGGCAGCTCTACATCTCGAGGAGGCCCCTGGACAGCAGGGTCAGGACCCCAACTCTGAGGGCTGCAGTGAAGACGTAGAGTGTGGCCCCCAGCAGAGCCTGGCTACAGAAGGGCTGGGGACAGCTCTCCAGTGCGGGTGCAGGTGGCACCTGGCTCTTCCTCCCTGAGTGGCCTCTGGAGGAGCATGCACAATCTACTACCTGATGCCATCATGGGCCACCCAGAAGGAAGCACTGAGGGGTGGACTGAGACTTGGCTGGGGTATTCTGGAGGGCAGGCCCAGCGGTGGGCTCTTGGCAGAGGCCTGTAGCCTGGTTCCTGCAAGGCCTCCACAAATGGTGACGACCTCCCGCTTCTGGGCCTGGAAGGTCGTCAGCTTACTGCCTCTGGCCACGCTTGCTGCTGGGTTTGACCTGTTCAGACACACTCTAACCCTTCTCACACAACCACACGTACACACTGCACACAACTTGCCACACACAYGGCACCTCGCTCACACACGCGCACCACAGGTCCTTCCTACGTGCATTGCTGCCCTTGAGGAACAGCACCCCTGGCGCTGCTCCTCTGCCTCAGGGCTCCATGCTGGGCCCCAGCTGTGGGGCATGAAGCCCTGCAGCCCCTCTCACAGGGAGGCCGGGACCACATAGTCATGAAACAGATCCAAGGTGCAGTGCTCACAGGGGCTGTGAAGAAGTGGCACGCTGGTCTCTGAGGGTCTGTGACACTTGTGTGGTCCAATCAGGGAGGTCCAGGAAGGCTGCCCAGAGGACAGGCACCTCGGCACAGAGCAGAGGGACAGGTGGACATTCACTGAGGAGAGGCAGGGGAGATCATCTTGGGGAGAGCGCAGCGAGAACAGGCAGGTGGTCCTGAGGGGTGGGCCCCCATGTCCTAAGAGCAGTGCCGGGACACTCTGAGTTCTGGAAGGGTGCTCCCAGCTGCAGRGGTGCTGAGGTGGCAGCTGGACTACAGCAGGGTGAGGAGGGTGCTATCGGCCAGACAGGCTGTGGAGGGGCCAGGGTGGCTCTCTGGTTTCTGTCTAGACAGAGAGGTGGCCTGAGGAGGACATTAGGAGCCTGAGAAGAGCAGCAGCTAAAAGCAAGCTACATGACTGACAAAGCACCTACTATGAGCTCGAGGGTCACCAGGCAAGGGCCTGGAAGTCTCGAGGTGACTACCCAACTATGCAGACCACCCTCTATCTCAGTCAAGTGATATCTGACGAGGGTCAGCCAGGTGGATGTGGCCCCAGCCCCACTCTTGTCCTTGTCACCAGCCCAAGCAGATCCCCAGGTCTGGCCTTACTCCGGAAGAACTGGGTCCCTGGGCCTCTGGCCAGTGCCTACTGAGACAGCTGCAGCCTCCCCTCTGTGAGGACGTGGCTCTGCCTCTCGAGGCCACAGAGGACATGGAGGGGTTCGGTCCCAATGACAGGAGTGACAGCAGCAGAGTGGGTTCCAGATTCTACGATACCACCCTGTCCAACTACCCTCGTCTCCCAGACGAGGAAGGCAGAGCTGAGGCTGCCAGGCAAGGAACCTGCCCAAAGCCTCGTCCCCGGGTCCCGGTCCCCATCTCCTCAGGAGCCAGCTTGGTTTAGGCCTCTTGGTCTGAGGGGACAGACATACCAGACCCAGGCCCTCCGCCTCCTCCCCTGCCACACCCTCTGTCTCATGTCTCCAGGGGCCAGRGTGGGGGCAGGGACGGCCCAGGCCACTCTCCCAGAATCATGTGGATTCCCTTCCAATAAACTCACTTTCAGAATTTCCTGGTGATTCTCCGAGGCGTACAGCCGCCCGTCGCGCACGATGTCTTCTATCAGCTGCTGGTAGTCCTCTGGGAAGCGGGTCAGCAAGGGAGGGGAAGGCCGGAACTTGAGACCCTCACATCCCCACCTCTGCCCTCCCTGGCTCCAGCCTCGGGTTGTCGGCGAGTGCTGGATGCTGCCCCTGGCCTTCGCATGGGGTCCCTTCCTGTACTGTCATGGCGGCTTGGCTGCCCTGGTTAGCCTTGTCCTCCCGTGGGCAGTGCCTCCACCTCCGCCTGCAGACAGCAGTGTCCTCATCTGCACCCCCACACCCTGAGGCCTGTCTGCAGCGGGGCCCCTGGGGCATGCTGGTCCTGGGTCTGTGCCCTGCCAGAGGCTGGGGCGTGAGGCTGTCTCCACTCCTGGCACCCAGCGGGCCGTGATGAGCGGTGCCTTACCATCGTAGGTGACGTAGGGCACTTGGAACCCTTTGCCACTGTTGCCTTCGTTGGACTTGAACTGGATCCAGAGCTTCCGGGAGCGGGAGGTGAAGGCGATGGGCCTCTCATAGGTCTGGCAGGTCTCGTAGGTGGTGATGGATGTGGGCGAGGCTGGGGGAGACGCCCTCACTGAGGTGCTCCGAGACATGCTCCTCACTGACCCTTCCTCCTGCTATAGGTTGCTTACCTCCCCAACCCAGCTGGCTGCCAGGGCCCTAGTGCCCATTGCTCAAATGCACCCTCTAGATTCGTCTGGTTCCCTCTGCCCTTCGCTGCCCTCTGCCCCTGGAGTTCTGGTGGACCCCTGCGTGTAGCCCCCTGTGCCAATTGCTCCCCCATGACAGGGCTCATGCCTGTGCCCAGCAGTCAGGGATGGGGGGTGCACTCAGGCAGGCCATGGGAGAGGAGCCGGGGGCTCCTGTGAGTGAACAAGGAGGGGTGGACCTGCTATCCCCTGGGGTGCCCACCTCACTGCTCCCTGGGTATTCTTCCTGAGGTGCCCCTGATACAGGAGAGGCTGCCCCTGGAGCTCAGCCCTGTGGGTGGACAGGGGAAAGAAGGATGTGGGTGGGGGCCCTGGGGCTGGTGATGGGAATGGGTGGGGCAGGTGGTTCCAGGCTGGGCTCTGACCTGCTCAGGGACCCTGGGCAGGCCCCTTGCCCTTTCTGGCACAGCCCCACTTGCATATTAGGGCGGTCAGACTCGTGACAGGAGCAGGCAGTGTGTGCGTGGTGCTAAAGCTCACACAGAACGTGGCACTGGGCAAACTCCTCGGCTCCCTCCTCGTCCTCCTTCGCCTCTTGTGGCCTGCCTCTATGACCAGAGATAGTCAGGCCTGGACAAGGGTGTGCTCTGTGCCTGTGTGGGTTCCTGGCCTTTCTCCCTGGCCCTACGGCCTTCTCACAGAGCTCTGCACAGCCCAGCTCTGGCAGCCAGATCCCAGTGGGTCCCCACCTGCCTCCCGGAACCCCAAGTGACCTGTTCTCAGGGCCTGGGCCCTCCTTCCTGTTCCTGGTGAGGCTGTACTAGGGTGGGCGTGAACGTGGACTGAGGCTGTGTGGCCCTGCCATCCCCATCCCGAGGCCAGTACCTACCACTCTTCCTCATGACCAGGACATCACCGCACTCATCCTCGATGGGCAGGAAGATCTCGGGGACCACAATGAGGATCCTGCGCTTGGGGGGCGGTGCGATGTGCCACACACACTCAGCATTGGCCGGGTAGTCTCCAGGGTAGTTGGGGGACTCTATGTAGCCCGTGTAGTCACCAAGCTCACCACCACAGTGCTGGTCTGTGGGTACCATGGCCACAGGRCCTGGTCAGGCTTGGCCTGCTGGGTGTCTTGGCCTCCTGGGCCCTCAGGCAAGTGTTCCTGTCCCCTCCTCTGCCCAGCCTCCACCCAGGCCTCCTGTGTCAGCTGCCAGCCCTGAGCTGACCTCTAGTGGGAGCCCTGCCTGGGCTATCCCCTGGGCTAGAGGGCAGGTCCCCAGTTACTCTTGTAGGTTCTCTGAGCCCCAGCCCGAGCAGATACCTAGGGGGCTGACCTGCCTGGCCAGGCCTATCCTGTTTCTGTGTCTGGGCCTGATCATGTCACTGGCCACTCAGACGGGCCGTTTTGTGCCCCTGGAGACTTGCAGCCCCCCTGGCTGGCCCAGCCAGGTCTAGGTGTGAATGTAAAGGGAGGCCCCCGGGCACCTCTCTCTGGTTATTCACCTGGTGAGCCTCACTGGGCATGCCAGTGCCACACGGTCTCCCTCCTCACAGAGCAGGAGGAGCAAGCGGTCCACACAGGGAGGAAAGGAAACGTGTTCCTTCCGTTTCCTTTTTAATTCCTTGAAGAAGCTGAACCTGACATTTTTATGAGCCAAATTGTTCCTAGCCTTTAATTAATAAGGAAATGGCCTTAGCTCTCTAAAAAGAACTGAAAGTAAATATTAAATGTTTATAAAATTCCTTTGCATTCTCATTTAAAAATTTTTCTCACTTCAAAACTTCTGGGGAACATTTCATTTCCCTACCAGCGTTCTAGAAGCTTCCCTCTCTCCTGGCTTCACCGTGTTCACCAATGAGGATGTTTAAGCCCTGCCTCTGCAAAGCTCCTCCTCTGACTTGCTCTTCAGCCTGGGAAGCCTGGACGGAGGCCACTGCCACCTCTAGCTAACCCCTTCACAGGATTTCAGGCAGTTCTCAACATGGCCGGAGGGACAATGAACTAAAACTGACCAGGAGAGGGGAAAACCAGAAACTCTGAAAAAATGAATTTAAAATACTTAAAATGATATGGTGTCCTTTTCCTTGCCCCCAAAGACCTACTGGGCGAGGGGCTGGCAGGAGCCCCTCTTTTCCCGGACTGTCTAAGATGACCACTTTTCTCTGACTTGAGACTCTTGGGCACCACGAAGCCTGTATGGCCCTCCTCCAGCCCTTTCATGCCTGTCCACACCTAGGTTCCTGCGTCCTGCTGCTCTCAGGCTTCAGCTGGGTGTCCAACTGGCCTAAGAGGCACAAGCCTTTGGGGCTGCAGGGCTGGCACTTGCCTGCTGTCCCAACCACCTTGCAGCTGCCCCTTAACATGGGTTTCTTTCTCCCCAGGACCCAGAAATCAGAGCAGGGCCTGGCTTGGGCCGAGACTTGGGCTATGGCTGGTGAGTAGAGGGAACTGGTAAACTTCGGTGCCACCATACTGCTTGCAGAGAGGGCTAAGCCAGGGCCTCCCCTCCTTGCCACTGAGCTCAAGAAGGACGTAGGGTTCACAAAGGCACCCCTGTCCCCCAGTAGAGGTGGCAGACAGGAACCAGCACCCTCAGTCAGGCAGTGGGAGATCAGCTGCCTCCATGACCTCCCGGGCCCCGCCCAGCACCCCTGCTCCCTGGAGAGGGAAGAGAGGCACCTACTTTTGCAGTGTGTGACGTTGGTGGAGCCATCGAAGTCCGTGCTGGTGTTGCCTGGACAGGTGACGCAGTGGTTCTGGCCAAACTCAGGCTGGTAGGTGCCCACAGGACAGCGGATGCACCGGTGTGTGGTGGTGTTGTAGTGATGGCCAGGGGAGCAGTGCACTGCAGAGACATGTGGCAGGGGTGCTAGTGGCAAGGCCAGGCCTCCCCTGCTCCTGAGGTGAGGCTCAGACAGAGCTCAAGGCCCTCTCCCACCCAGTGCCGCCTCTTTACCATGAGGGGACAGGTGGGAGGACATGGCCAGGACTGAATGGCTTGGGAGGGGCCCATGTCAGACACAGACTGAGGACACCCATGGGCTCCAGCAACACAGGGACGTGTAGGCCACTGTGAAGGGAGCAACTTTTGGGGAGACGTGGGGTAACAGTGTGACTGAAGGGGTTCAGGGCAGAAGCCAGAAGAGGAAGGGGAGGGAGCAAGGCTGTACCTTGTCATTCCACAGGTGAGGGCACAGGGAGGAAGGGGAGGCCGGAGGGCAGGGCCCAGGGGAGAAGCTGCTCCTCAGAACAGCAGGGCCCCAGAGGGGACCATCTGGATATATGGCAGACTCTGTGGGACTAGGATTGAGCCACCGGCCTGTGCTGGCAGCACAGATACCTGACAGATATGAGGGGGCTTGAGGAACAGGAAGCAGGCTCCTCTGCTGGGGGGACAGGCAGGCTGGACAAAGGAGGGGAGTGGCAGACACCCAGCAGGGTGGCCCTGAAGGGGCTGGTGAAGGTGTCTGCTCTGGTCCAGCCCCTGCCACCTCCTGGTCCTCCCATCTTCCTTCCAGACATGGCTCACAGGTTCCCAGAAGCCTCCCAGTGCCCGAGGTGCTGGTGCTCAGCAGGCTCGCAACCTGTCCTAATCATGGCACAGTGCTCATCACCATGTCCATGCCTGGTGGCTCCAGGCTACTCCTCTGATTCGGCCATGCCAAGGAGATGAGGGCTTCTGGGGAAAGTGTCCCTGAGCAGTGCAGTGGGGGCGGTGGGGCCTGCTCACCTTTGGCCTCGCAGTCCTGGAAGGAGGTGGCGCCCTCCAGCTTGGTGAGCAGCCCCCCTCCACAGGGGAAACAGCCGGTGCGCCCAGGCTCAGGCTGGTACGTGCCCATGGGGCAGGCCTGGCAGGGCTGGAAGCCGTCTGCTGAGAAGAAGCCTGGAGAGCACTGGCCTGGAAGTCAGAAGTCGAGGCTCAGGTGGGAGGGCGCTACTGGGGCTGGGCCGTGAGTGGCCCAAGGCCCTGATCTTGATCTCGCTTACCCCAGGAGAAAGCACCTGGGTTGGGGTAGGGGACAGCACGACAGCCCTGGTGGCGGGAGGCTTGGTCTGGATGCTGGCAGCATTCCCGGTGTGGCCTGCCAGGCCACCTTTGCTTCTCCCACAGCAGGAAGGGCTGGGGGCAAAAGGGCAGTGACCCTGCTGAGCTGGGAAGTGGGAACCCCAGGTGAGGGAGTTTCTTTCAAAGGCCTCTCCCCAGGGGGCAGGCCTCATGTCTCATGTGTCCTCCTGGCCCAGGTCCTAACCAAGTGATGAATCTCCCACCTGTGGCCACCTTGTGCTCTGAGTCACTACCCGCCAGGTGGGGGCACCACCCTTCTGGAGGGGCAGTGGGCCAGAGCAGCTGGCAGCCTGCAGAGCCTTGGGCTAGGACTTGGGCTGTTCTGTCCCTGAGAGAAGGCAGAGGTCTCCACTCCCCTGAGTGTCCACTCGCCCACCCTCACAGCACTGCCTTGTCATGTGCATGCTTTTCCTGCATACCCTCCAGCTGAGCCCGGGAGAGACCAACTGGGAGACTGACTTGTTGCATAAACGGGGCCAAGTGGGGGTAGCCAATGGAGACCATCTCCACAAACCAACGGCACTGGCTAAGTAAAAAGTGCCATCTCAATCAGCTTAGGGTAAGGTTTAGCACTCTTTGTGCAAAGTCCCTGCTCACAAAAGTACGTGGTTCACTTGGTGACTTGTGGCTGACTGTCCCCAGGAGGCCCAGTGCTGGGTCAACCATAAAGCACTTAGGTTGTCCCTTTATGACCACACCTCGTCTGTGAGGACAACATGTCTGCACACTGGCGTGCTCTGTGGGCTACACGGTGCAGTGATGTGGCGTGCAGAGCTCAGGACTCCGGGGACCTCCAGGAGCGGACCCCGCATAGCCCCACGTCCTTCGTGGGGGTACCTGTGTGGAAACTGAGCCACTTTGGGATGGCAATGAACTGCAGCCAATGCCAGACTCTGTGGCCGCACATGGCAGCCACCTTTGCTTTGGGAGCCTCGGGAGGCAGGAGGGTCCTGCCTGTGCCCCTCCCCACCAGCCCCCCTTCCACATGGGCCTGCACTTGCCTCCACATTCAGATACGTTGTGGGCACCAGCCAGACCAAGCCCATCACTGCTGGGACATGGCGTGCAGCTGAGCTGGCCTTCCATGTCCTGGTAGGTCCCCGACACACACAGCACACACTGGCCCTGCTCGCCGCTGAAGTAGGTGCCAGGCCCACAGGTCACTGCAGAGGCAGAGTGGAGAGGCTGCTGGGGGACAGCGGCAGAGGGCTGGGGCCGCCCTCCCCTAGCAGACTGGCATGGCCCAGCGGGGCCCAGCCTCATCCCAGAGGAGCTGGGGACTGGATCTGGGGGGCAGCCATCTACGAGGACCCTTGAAGCCCTGGTCTCCTCTCCCCAAGGTGGCCCCTCCACAGTGCTCCACAGGCCCCTGCAGCCCTGCTCTTTCTCCCCTCCATGTCCTGTCCTCCACCCACTTAACCTGTCACCAGCTGCCTCCTGGGGCTCTTCAGCTGGACACCCCAAGCCACTTCACCCCAAACCAAGCTCCCGGTCTCTCCTTTTCCTGCTGCAGGAGGATCTGGCCCTAAGGATGGGCAGCGTGGAGCCTTGAAAACTGCACACGGGCATGGGCCAGGGGCCTGGGCAGAGGCTGAAGGGACAATGCAGAGAGCAGAGAGAAGGACAGTCTACGTGATGGGCGGTATTGGGCCAGCAGGAAAACGTGAGGAAATAAGGACACTGAGGCGGGTAAGTTGAGGGGAGAGGAAGCCATGTCTCCACAGCTGAGAAGGTGTTCCCACACAGGCCGTGAGGGACGGAGAGAGCCCGGGGCTTCAACGGGAGGACTGCACAACGTGAGGTGTTCTCTCAGACACACCTGTGGAGGTGCCGGCGAGACATGCCTACACTTTCCAGTGCCCTCATGGGAGGGCCTGTGGCATTGCTGCTCCCTCAGCAATGAGCGCTCTAGGGGCTGGTCTCTGCATGTCCCTCTCCTCTCACAGGAGCTGGGGATTTGGCTGGTTCCAGGCTCAGGCAGGGAGGTACAAATGAAGTCCCACACATCTTGTGACACGATTAAAAGGACGGGAGGCCTCACAGAGTGACGGGGGCCAGTCAGAAGGACATGGGGGCCAGTTTAGGGGTGCTCAGTGCATAATGGGGACAATCTGAGCATTAGCACTGACCTAAGTGGTGCTGGAAGGGATTACAACTCAGTGTGGACTAGGGGACTCTCTGGGCCCCTGCTGACAGACACACAGACAGGGCAGGGCAGAGCTCTTCCTTACAGGAGACTCTAACTCTGAAACGCAGACAGGACAGCCCAGCGGCAGCCACCACCAGGTGGGAGATTTGCTGGGAGTCATAGGAAGCTGGGGATGGTGGAGTCAAAGGAGGATCAGGAATCAACTCAGCATCTGTCCCCAGAAAACACTCCTCAGCCACCAGAGAGGAGCTGAGGCCTCTCTGTACCTGCTGACAGGCAGGACAGCTGGCCTCGGGGCTGTGGTTGTCCTGCAGACACAGGCCTCCAGCTGGTGAGGAACAGCTGGTGGGCCTACTGAACAAGGGTGTGCCTGGGCCCAGAGAGGCCAGCAAGGGGGCTGCCCCAGACCTCAGGGGCCTGAAGAAGCGCAACAGGAGAGTGACACTCATTCCTGGTAGGAGCTAGGACCAGAGAGAGAAGAGGGACGCTGTTGGAAGGATGGCGGAGTTGCAATGGGGTGCATGAGCTGGATGGGGAACCCTACACCCCACCCTTCCGCAAATGCTGAAAAATGTTCCCAGTTGGGGACTTGGGTGAGGGAAAATGGAAGTTTCTGTTGTGCTTTCTGAAAGCTGGAAATGATTTCCAAGTAAGTTGTTCCAAATAAGAGAGTAATGTCACCGTGCCCCTGGTCTGTGTCCCATGTCAGAGCAGTTCTGCCCACTGCAGTCTGGGTCAAAGTCCCTGCGACAGCTGCACACCTGCCACCCGCTTCCCAGCAGCACCCTGGCCCAGCCTGTTCTCTGGGCTTCGGATCTGTGGTCCGATTGTCTACTCACCCTGCCCCGGGTGGGCCTATCGGACCCCTCAACCCTGGGGCGAGTACCCACCTGCAGATGGGGAGACTGAGGATCTGAGAGGCCTGATCTGCCCAAGGCCATGAAGCAGATATGAGTACAGGCCAGGCCTCTGGACGGCTCAAGGGCACCCTGTAGCGGGAACTCTCTACCTCCCCAACCGCCCTCTGTAAGTATCCCAAATCTACAGTGAGTACCTGAGTGGCCGTGCCCTGAAGTCAACCCTGAAGTCTCTCTGCCCAACCCCACTCGCCAGAGCACTCCTGGAATTGTCTGACTCTTCATTTGCCCCGCCCTGGTTCCAGGACCCCCACCCCTACATGGCCTCCTCTTCCCCCATCCACCCTCCTTCCAATCAGCCATCCTGTCACAGAGAGTGGATCTGGATGTCCCTCCCTAGGGCATCCCAGCAGAACCCAGAACTGTGTCTATGGCTGCCTCATGTGCGTGTTGGGGGGCTGATTTGCTCACAGCCTACTTCCCCACAAGAAGAGGACAACGCCTGCTTGCCACGGCTTGGTCCCCAGTGCCGTCTCTGACTTCACCCCTCGTCACAAGCCATCCCCAAGGTGTGGTCACCTGCCCTGGCTGGCTGGCCTCCAGGCTCCCCGACAAAGCCCCCGGGGGCTAGGGGCTGGCCTCCCCATTCCCTGCAGACCACCCCTTAGTGGTGCTGGGCACTGTGGCCATCACACTCCGCCCTCCCTGACCCTGACTCAGCTTCCTGGCTTCTTGTCAACCCCGGGGCCTCAGTTTACCCTTCTCTGGGAAGCCTTTTAGACGACCAGACAGGAGGGGCCTTTCTGGTCACTGCAGTGTGGCCTTGCGTCATGTTCTGTCCCCGTCCGTGCCCTGTCCCTCAGGACTGTGGTGAGGATGGCAGGCACCAGGGAGTGCACTTTAAATGACAGAGATGATTCGAGGGCCACGGCTCTCCAGGGCAGGCCTCTGCATCCTGTCCCCCCACGAGTCTGTCTCCCGTGTGCTCACCGGGGTTCGCTTGGGCTGCACATACAAGGAAGTTGGTGGCTGAGTGGCCACGGGCAGGGACTCACCACATTTGCCATCCTGGAGCACCTGGCCAGTGCCACACGTCCCTAGCCCCTCCAGGGCCTTGGCTGAGCGCTGGGCCACCTCGTACTCAGTGCCTGAGATCTGCACGTAGAACTGCTGTCGGTTGATGGACTTGCGCAGGGTTTTGATGGCGGCCTGCAGGCTCTGCTCGGCTCGCTTCCGCACGCAATCGGCTTCGCAGGTATCTGGTGGGAGAGACCGCGTGAGACAGTAACGCGGCCAGGTGAGCCTCCACCTTCTCCAGAAGGCCCTCTGTGCCAGGCCCTGCCCCGGGTGGGCCTGTCGGACCCCTCAGCCATCTGCACAGCAGCCCTGGGGCAAGTCCCCTCAGGCAGATGGGGAGACTGAGGATCTGCCCAAGGCCATGTTGCAGATATGAGTACAGACCAGGCCTGTGTCTGCTGCCACATGTCATCCAGGGCACCACTCACTGGGTGGGAGCTCAGACACTCTTGAGGACTGTGACTGAGCCCAGAGCAGTGTCCAATTCTCTGTCTTGAATCCAGGATGCCCCGAGGTCTGGCTCCGCCCACCTTGCCAGCCTCAGCCCCAACACCCAACACTGTGAGTGCCGCCTCCAGCTGCCCTGCCTTCCTCTCACACCCAACCCTCCGACCTCTCGGCCTTTGTCCATTCTATTCCCTCTGCCTGAATGCCTTTCCTTGCCACCTCTTCTACCCCATTAACTTTTTTTTTTTTTTTTTTGGTACTGGGGATTGAACCCAGCGGTGCTTTACTATTGAGCCACATCCCAGTCCTTTTTATTTTGGATTTTGAGACACAGTCTCATTAAGTTGCTAAGGGTCTTGCTAAGTTGCTGAGGCTGGCCTCAAACTTGTAATCCTCCTACCTCAGCCTCCTGAGTCACTGGGATTACAAGTATGCATGTAAACTTTGATTTCAAACTGATTCAAATTTAAATGTCACCTTTCCTGAAAGCCTTCCTGAGCCCTGCACTTGGGAGTCACCTTAGCTCCACACCCTGCTTGTTCCCATACCCCCACTACTCAGGGTGTCACCTGGCTCTGGGCAGCTAATAGGCCTGTCTGCCTCCCTGCAGCTGGGAGCACTGCCAGGGCAGGGGCTGGTCTCTTTTTCCATGGTGTCTACGCCCAGGTCAGGCATACACTGAATACATTTGCTGACCACTCTCACCTCCTTGGCCTCAGTCCAACACCAAGAGGAACATGCTGGTGTGAAGCAGCCAGCACCACCAGCCTCTCAGGAAGCTGGGAGTCAGTCCGTGGCGTGACCATTCTGGGGGCTGCACACATTTCCCCTTCCAGCCCCAGCCAGGGCGGGAGGGTGGGAGTGTGGCTGTCTGTCTCCGGGGCTCTCTGAGCCTCCTCTTCCATGCTGGACAGGGCCTTCCCCCTGCCAGCCTCTCACCAGCCTCTGCCACCTGTGGTCCTGGCTTGGGGGTGGAGGACCCCCATCCTGCCCTGCAGCTGCTCCTCAGGTCCTTGCAGCCATCAGAGAACTCTTCACCCACCTGAGGCCTCTTCCATCTTTATCTCCACCTCAAACTCTGCAGTGACATGGGACACCTCCTTGGATGGGGACTTGCGGCCGCGGCGTCTCTTCTTGGAGGAGTCGCACTTGAGGGTCAGGAACGTCACGTGGCAGTTTTCTGACAAGGATGGGAACACCATGGCAATCCCAGCCCTGTGCACAAACTGCACTGGATTGCCCCTTGCAGGGCCCTCCATGCCCAATAGCAGGGACAGACGGGGAGCGGAGCTGCAGCAGGCCAGGCTGCTGGGGCCTCATGCAGGAACCAGCCCTCCGAGCCACCACAGCGCCGCCAGAGGAGGCGCCCTTTCTGCACTGGCCAAGCTGCTGCACCTGACCAGGCCGCTGAGGATTTGGCCAGTGCCCCCAGTCAGGCCTGTCAATGCAGAGCATTTAGACCAGTTTCAGAAGGCGTCTCGTGGGACCAGAGCTGGAAGCTCCCGGCTGGGCCCTTCTTGGAAAGCTTGTTCTCTGCTAGCCCTCAACCTGGAAGTCCTTCTTGGTCACACTCTCTTGAGAAAGACTGCTGAGTAAAACTGCAGCTCCTTCAATTAGGAACAACCAGGCTACGTAGAAAGGCCTTGCTGGGTGCATGTGTCACTTAACCCTGGTGTGGCAGAGACAGTGGCCCCCAGGATGCTGGACACCCATTTCCCACTCAATGTCAGGGGCCAGGGGTGGGGGCGGCAAGGTGGAGGGGCACAGATGGGATGCTTAGAAATCCAGCTGCTGGACTCTGGGCCCCAGTCCCAGGCTTGGGGGTTCCTCCACCACCCCTGGGTCACCTACTCACCCAGCAGTGGTTGCCGTGGGGTCTCCTTTGCTCGCTCCCGGCTGCGGGGCCGGAGGTGGCATTTGGCATCTCTGATCTTGAAGCGGGCCTTCTGCTTGATGGGGGCACTGGGGGCATCTGGAAAAAGCCAAGATCCTCTCCTATGGCAAGGAAGTGGTGGGGACGGGGACTGCCACAGAATGGGTCTACCTGGGGTTGGGGTGGGGCTGGGTGTGGGCAACTCTGTCCCATGGCCCTCCCAGGGCGGGGGAACCTCCTCTGCCCCACTCCCTCCTCTCCCTGCAAGGCCCGAAAGGTGAACTCGGGGACAGTGGGTCGAGCTCAAGCCCAGAGTCCTCTGTAGAGGGGAAGGAGTCCCAGCCTCCGCCTGTCTCGTGGCCAAGGCCCGAGTTGTGGCTGGAGACTTTAGAAAGCAGGCAGAAGGGAAGAGGGGAGCAAGAAAAGGAAATACCATGGAGGCCAGAACTGCAGAGTCCTTCAGAGAGCAGATCCCAGCTCTCTGAACTGGAGTCCTGCGCTCCAACAGGCTCCGAATCACACCTTTTACACCCTCTGCGCACCTGAGTATGCCCCCGCCACTCTGACAGCAGGGATCAAAAAAGCGCTGGGGATACCCTCTCCCATGCTGAACAGAGGCTGCTGGGCAGGGCTGGTCCCAAGGGAGGGAGCACAGCTGTGCCTGGCACCCCTCAGGCAGCGTTTGAGGCGGGGCTGCCTACTGAGTCATTCAGGAGAGGCCACACACTCCCCGAAATCAGAGCCTGAGATCTGTACACACAGAAGCACTTTGAAGTCACTCAGCTACTGCTACTACGACCTCAGATCCAAAAAGCCAGTGCCCCTGGGCTGGAACTCGACCTTCAGGCTGCTGGCATCTAGGTCCAGGCCTGCCTTGTCTCCAGTACGCTGATCCAGGCCTGGAAGGACCCAGACTGGGACACTCTCCCCTGGGGCTGTGTCCCTCCCTCCCCATGTCCCTCTCCACATACCAGAGAGTCAAGGGGCCACCTAGGTGTACAAAGTGTGGACAGTCAGGGGCTACCTGAGCAGCCAGGTCCGGTGCCAGAGCTGGTGCCATTGCGTTTCGGTAGTGTCCTGCCCTGGAGACCCGGAACACCACAGCTCAGGATGTAGCTGTTTTCTGAGTCTGTGGAGAGGCCAGTGGGTGAGGTGGGCCTGGCTGCACCTCCCTTCCAGGGCCTCAGATTCTCGAGGCCTCCAAGAGGTTGCTGAACAAGAAGGTCAGGACTGACTGCTAAGTCAGTCTATTTCTGCCACATGCACACAGGTAAGTGGCCAGGCAGGAAGAAGCCTAGACCTAGGGAGGCCCAAACAGTTGCCCAGGGGCACTGCGACCAGGGCCCCCTCATCCCTGGTGGGGCTCTTTCCCAGAGAGTTGCAGAGATCAGGACCTTGACCCAAGGAAGAAGCCCCCCACCAGTACATCCCTTCCCTGGGACCACCTGGGTTACCTGGCACGAAGAGGGTGTGGGCTGGGCAGGAAAGAAGGCAGCTCTCCACACTGCCCACCTTGCTGCAGGACAGATGGGCCTGGGCAGAGGCCTGGGCTCGGGAAAGGCACCTGCCCGTCTCTGAGGAGAAGGAAGACAGAGAGGGCCTGAGAGGCCAGGGTGGAGGCTTCCTAAGGCTGACAGGGCCCCGAGCAGGGGTCTCCCAAAGCCCTTCCTCACAGGGCCAGACTGTCTTGGTTGGAAGGAGCTCAGAGGTGGCAGTGTCCAGTTCCATTTGTCCAGGTTGGACGCTAGCCCCAGAGAGCTGACCTGGTGCATCAGACACTGGTTCCAGCTGTCTGTGAGGTGGCTCACACCCATTCCCAGAGGAAGTTTCTGGGGACAGGGATAAGCCCTCAGGACAGCGCCTGTCTGGGGAGAGGGGCAGCTGCAAATGAACATGGGCTTCCTGGCCTGGAGGCACAGGATGGGGCAGCCCAACACACCCCTGGGGTATCTAAAGATGTCCACAGCAGCTCTTCACAACTTCCTGAGGGTTTGTTTGAAAAAGTCCCCAGATTCCTAGGAAAAGACTGGTAGTTCCAAGCCACCCTCAACATCAGAACTGATCTGACAGACATCTCATGGTGAGTGACAAGTGGCCCTGAAAGCCAGATCATAAGAGCGTCCCACAGTGAGTCAGTCACCAGATGGAGCCACATGCTCTCTGCAGCTGGCACACTGACCTGATCCTGATACTGCCAAATCTGGCTTTCCCCTCGGGACACTCAGCATCTTGCTGGAAATGCAGCCCTTGCTTGCTTCAGCAGTCAGTTCTGTCTGCCTGTTTAAGGTGCCAATGGTGATCTCCTGCTTTGGCAATTATGAAGGCTCCTCCCAGATGTCCCCTGGGGTCCTGTGGAGCCTTGGGCCTGCAGATGCCACCCTTCAGAGAGGCTTCTGGGGGAGTGCAGCGCAACCAGGGATGGCCTGCTGTGCCTTGAGTGCTCACACTTGTTGATGTTGTCACATAGAGCTCTGAGTTTCTATTTATTTATTTTTTTTGCACTGCTGGGGATACCCACTGAGCTACAGCCCCAGCCCTCAAAGAGATCTCTTTGGTTTAGAGTGCATGGCTGCCCCATGTTCCCCTGCTTTGTTCTACCTGTCCTGTGCTCCTGGGGGAGGAGACAGAGATGTGGCCCTGCTCGCTTCCACCCCAGTGCAAGGTGGCCCCCAAAGTCGACAAGGTGGGCCTTCCTGATAAGAGCAGCATCCTTACAAATTTAGACTGTAACCCCAACTCTGCTTGGTCAGTAATTGGAAAACTGCCCTCTGCTGGCTGCCACAAAACCCAGGCACTACCTCCACACCACCTGGGAGCAACGCGGGTCATGATGGCGGCTTCTGCCACCTCAGAATGAGAAGCTGATGTGCGTAGCAGAAGCTCCAGAAAGGCAGGAGGCAACACCCTCTTTCCATAGTCAGCTCGGCCCCAGCTTCCTCCCCATCTTCTGAATCCCCCTTCTTCCAGCTCCACTTCTGCCAACCCTCCCTCCCTCCCTCTGCTCCGGACCCTGACCTTTTCTCAACAAGCCCTTCTTCCCTAAGGTTTAGCTCAGGAAAGGAAGAACCACAATGTACAGAATTCCACTAGAACAGTTTACCCATAAACCAGAGTTACCATGTTGAAGTTCAAGCGTGGCCATGAGCCGAGTGCTACAAGGGTCAATTAAATTCTGAACCACAGGAGATGGGCAAGCGTTTGCTTCAGAATGCAGGATTTTTTTTTTTTTTGGATAATTATTGGCCTAAGTAATCAGATCTGTGCCCATGACACTAATAATTCATTTAATTATTAGTATCTTGGATTGGAAAAAAAGATGAAAAGCAGCAAACAATAAAGACAAGGGGAAGATTTAAACACCTAGCCTAGGTGAGCATAATCAGAAAAACAGCCTTAAGAGAAGCAGAAAAATAGGGACTACTGCACACAAGGCTGCTTTGGAAGGCTTTCCCTTAAGAAAAAGTTGAATAAAGAAAAAAATTATAAACAAAGTAAATATGACTCAACTGGTGACTTGAAATGCAGACTTTACACTTGCCAATGATATTTTGAGCAGACTCAAAAGCAAAATAAAGGGAGTTTTGTCCTTTCTTTTGCAGATGGGTGTGCCTGAGATAAGGGGGTGAGTTGGGAAATAAGCTGGAATGGGAAATTGCCAATTTAAATAATCCCCGACATGTGACTGAACATTTTTATGTTTGTTTGTTTTGTTTTTTTGGGTACCAGGGATTGAACCCAGAGGTGCTTAACCACTGAGGCACACCTCCAGCCATTTTTAAATTTTTCAGACAGGGTCTTGCTAAGTTGCAAAGGGCCTCACTAACTTTCAGACACTGGCCTTGAACTTTGAGCCTCCTGCCTTAGGCTCCTGAGTCGCTGTGATTACAGGCATGCACCACTGTGCCTGGCATGGCTGAATATTTTCAAGGTGTCTGAGAAAGTAAATAATGAAACAAACAAACAAAACCTCTCATGTTCCTCCAAATTAAGACATCTGGTTTCCAAAATGCTCTGTTCCTAAAGAATCCAGAGCCTGGGGATAAGAGCACCTGTGGCTGATGTGAGCACGGGGTCCTGGAATCTTGGCTTGTGGGCACTGTCAGGCTGCACAGTCCACACACAAAGCTGCCCAAGTATCCTGCATGCTCTGCTGGGCTTACAATGGCTGCAAATTCCATGCCCTTTCCCTGGGCCATTTCTTAGCCTTGTGTTTGCAGCCTTTGAAGGATGAGGTATCATAGGCCCCCGTGGGATGCAAATCCCCGCGTGGCACCACTCTCCTGGACCCCTTCCAGTCGTTCCTGCAGGACTCGGGGCAGGGGAGCAAACGAGCACCACTCCTGTGTGTGGGCAGAGAGGTCCTTGTGCCTTCCCCAGGAGGCTGTGACCTGTGCCGGCACCCACGAAACAGAAGCCAGCCTGCTGACCCAGCAAGATCCCAGGCCTGAGTCCACCGCCCACAACCACGCTTGGCAGTGCTGCAGAGCACTGAGCCCCTCCAGGAGGGTTTGGAGTTGGCTGAAAAGCAAGAGGGAAGTGAAAAGTACTTCAACCTCAAAGTAAAAAGGCCTGTTGGCCTTACAGACAACAGCCTACCTAGATCTAGCCTTTACTGGGATCACTACTCATCCTGTCAATCAGCCTTCCCAAGCTATTGTAGTGTAGCCAATTTGAAAACTGATATAAAGTATGTTCCACAAGCCTGTTAATAATATTTGTCATGGTTTGGATATGACATGTGCCCCAAAAGCTCCTGTTCATTCAGAAATGTTCAGAGGTGAAATGATTGGATTGTGAGAGCTGTAACCTAATCAGTCCATCCCAGGGTGAATGGAATGACTACATGGTAGCTGTAGGCAGGTGGGGTGTGGCTCGAGGAGGAAGGGTGTGTGTGGGGGTGCCCTGGAAGTACGCATCTGACCTGTGGCCCCTTCCCTGTCTCTCCTGCTTCCTGACACAACTACTAGTTGAGCCCCTTTTCTCTGCCCTACCCTTCCCCTATGATGTGCTGCCTCACCTTGGGTCCAAAGCAAAGGAGTCAGCTGATTATGGACTGAGACCTCTGAAAACATGAACCCCAAGTAAACTTTTCCTCCTCCAAGTTGTACTTGTTGGGTATTTTGGTCACAGGAACACAAAAATTGACTACAACAGAAATTAATACTGGAAATGGGGCCATTGTTGTGACTAACCTGACACATGATTTTTGAAGACTTTGGACTGGTTGGCAGGGGGAATTTTGAAAAGGTTAGAGATGCAAGTTGAAAAGCCTTAGAATGTTGTTAAGTGGAACTTAATGGGTGATTCTGATGGGAGCTCAGTTAACAGGATTGGCCTTAGGAATGCAGACAGTGAGCACGAAGTTTCAGAGGAAAATGAGGACTCTATGGGAAATGGGACTAGAGGCCACTCATGTGTCAAAGAACTTGGCTACATTTGGCTCATGTCCTGAGACTTTCCTGTGAGGCTGAGTTTAAAGGTGATGGACTAGTTAATCTGGTGGAGAAAATTTCAAGGMAGCACAGCATTCAATCTGTGTCATGAATATTGCTGGCAGCTTTAGCCAGGCTTACTAGGAGAAATGGGAGCAAGAAGCAGGGTTAAAGAATTTTAAAAATTTTAGTTTGGCCAGAAAAGTACATGTAAAACTGGGGCCAAGGAAAGTGCTTATTGAAGAGATTATAGCCCCTAAAGACATGCTAAGTACTTTGATTTTTGTCTCAGATGAGAGAAGATGGTGTAAGGGCATCACAGGAATTCACAGGACCACACTCATTGCAGGCTCGAGGGTCTAGAGGAGGAAAATTCCTTTGAGAAGAGATCAGGGGTGTGTGCTACTCACACAGGGGAGCCTTGGAAGATGTTTTACCAGGCTAAGCTGTGCAGGCACTCAGAGGCTGCTGCAGCCACAGTTCCAGGGGCCCAGGTATTGCCTGAGTGATCTTGGCATCATCCACATGTTGCTGGGTCTACAGGAATGCACCATGCTAAAGTTAAGGGGTCACGAAGCTTCCATTGAGATTTTGAAGTAAGGCCTGGGAGGCCATGCAAAGTGTAGCAAGGTTAGAGTCCTTGTGGGCTGCCCCCGAGAGGGTGATGTGTAAAGTGTGAAGGTGAACCTGAAGCTGGAAAGAAGACCTTGACAATTAAGAAATGCCAGTAACGTGGACTGTCTGCTGACAAAAGCTACTGGCTGTGTAACAGGCTGAAAGAGAGCCCATGTGCACTGCCAGCAGGCCAAAAGGGTGAAGCTGCCCGAGTCCTTTCGAGAGCATGTTTTATAGGGGCTGGGGATGTGGCTCAAGCGGTAGCGCGCTCGCCTGGCATGCATGCGGCCCGGGTTCGATCCTCAGCACCACATACCAACAAAGATGTTGTGTCCGCCGAGAACTTAAAAATAAAATAAA